GAAACGGGGCGGAGCGACTCGCAGCGGACGGTGTTGTTCCCGGAGGCACGCAGCGAAACCGGAAGGCGGCCGAGACCTCGGTGGAGTGGGCGGCTGAACGCAGAACCCGATAAGCTTTTTGCTGTGCGATGGCACAGACCTTCATCGGGAAAGATTTCCTAGCATCAGCAATACCCGGAAGACGCGAAGGAACGACGCTTCCACTCTGAGTTGCAAAGTCGCGGAGTTTCGTCAGCGGCCGTTGTTGGGCGCATCACCGACGGTACTTCCAAAGCAATCCGAGTAGTGGCATAGGGCGGGTGCGCGGATAGATTGACACGCCATCCGATCCGGTACTTGTCGGTCTTGACTTTCTTCGTGCTCGTGGCAGTCGCGTGCTCACACCCGGGTGGTTCTCAAACTCTTTCCGCTCCGACGGCGACACTGCGTTCCGACCAAACTTGCCGTTGCGCCCACTAGCACCCGGTTCTGGCCGCAACTTCTACCAGCACTCCGGAACCTACCTCTACTCCGACGAGTGTGCCCACCATCACGTCTACGCCTACGAATTCGCCCACGCCAACTTCGATGCCTTTGGACACGCCTACACCTGTCCCGACGGTCACACTGACACCTACGAACTCGCCTACGCCGACCCCACCGCCCGTGAACACTCCTACACCCGCCCAGATAGCTACGCCAGTACCTACAGTGTCGGTCACCGCCGTTACCAGTACGAACCAAGCACCCACCCACTCACCGAGCCTACGGACACAGCGACAGCCACAAGCACACCATCGCCGACACCGGTCCTAATTGCCACGAGCGCCCCAACGGCAACATCCACACCCCAACAATCGTGTCATCGTCGCCGACACCCTCCCCTCCCCCACGCCGGTACCGACAAACTCGCCTACGTCTACGCCGACCCCGACACCATTGCCCACGGCTGTGCCGACTGATACGCCCACGCCGACGCCCGCTCCTACCGAGACTGCCACCCCGAGTTCGCCCGCAGGCGACGGCGGTGTGGCAATCGTCTGTATCTTCTTCGACGGCGTAGTATCGAGACAGGAGCCGGACGAGTACGTGGAAATCGTCAACGCGAGTGAGACCGACCGGGACCTGAACGGCTGGCGTCTCGTGGACGTGTCGGACGACGGCCCGACGTTCACCTTCCCGGCGATCGTGGTCCCGGCGGGCGGACGTGTGCGCGTGTACACGAACGAGGTGCACGAGGACTGGGGTGGGCTCAGCTTCGGTCGCGGAACGGCGATCTGGAGCAACTCCGAACCCGACACCGCAGGACTCTTCGATGGTGCGGGAATGCTCGTCTCTCTAAGACCTACCCTCCGGGGTGTCCGTAAACAGCTTCTTCACACACGTTCGCGGGCGCGTGTCTACGAGATAACAACCCTGCTCGCGTCCGGCCTCCTCGAACACGGCGAGGGCGCGGTCGAGCTGCTCTCTCGTGTGCGCCGCCGACATCTGGACTCGCGGATGCGGGCCTCGCCTCGCGGCACGACGGGGAAGCTGAACGCCACGACGAAGACACCGCGGGCATTGACCGCCTGCGCGAGCGCCACGTTCTTCTTCTCGTCCCCGATCATGATGGGCACGATGGGGTGGTCGCCGGGCACGATATTGAAGCCGAGCTCGTTCATCTTGCTTCGGAAGTGGGCAGTGTTCGCGTGGAGTCTTTCGCGCAGCTCCGGGCGGGTCTGGAGGATGTCGAGCGCCGTCAGCGCGCCGACCACTATCGGCGGCGCCAACGTGTTGGAGAATAGGTAGGGCCTTGAACGCTGGCGCAGGATGTCGATGATCTCCTTATGTCCGGTCGTGAATCCGCCCGACGCTCCGCCAAGCGCCTTTCCCATCGTGCTGGTAATCACGTCGACGCGGTCGATGACCCCCTGCTTGTCGACGCTTCCCCTACCCGTCGGGCCGAGAAAGCCTGTCGCGTGGGAGTCGTCCACCATTACCATCGCGTCGTACTTGTCGGCGAGATCGCAGATGCCAACGAGGTCGGCCTCGTCGCCCAGCATGGAGAAGACGCCGTCGAGTGGCGATCATGCGGAACCGGGCGTCCTGCGTCTCCTTCAGCTTGTCCTCCAGATCTCCCATGTCGCTACTTGTGCCCGTAGACCTTGCGAGTGGCCTTGCAAAGCCGGACGCCGTCGATGATGCTCGCGTGGTTCAGGGCGTCGCTGATGATCGCGTCCTCCGGCCCGAGCACTGTCTCGAACAGCCCGTGTTGGCGTCGAAGCACGAGGTGTACAGGATCGTCGCCTCGGTGCCGAACCAGCCCGTGATCTTGTCCTCGAGCTCTTTGTGGATGTCCTGCGTACCGCAGATGAACCGCACCGAGGCCATCCCGAACCCATGCGTCTTCAGCCCCTCGACGACGGCCTGCTCGATCTCCTCGCTGTCGGCCAGACCCAGGTAGTTGTTGGCGCACATGATGAGCTCGTGCCCCGTGGACGTATCGACCTCCGCTCCCTGCGGGTGTCCTTGAACTTCTCCTCCTTGTACAGGCCGCTCTCCCTCCCTAGTGGTATCGATGCTACGTCCTGCAGGAAGGTCTTGACTGCGGTGTATGCCATACGGCTCTCCTTCGGCGATTACGTATGCATGATAGGGTAAGCCGCCCAGTGGTGGGATGTTTCACAACGGTTGCGTGAAGTAGCGGGGGGGGTTCACGAGCAGGCCCTCCTCACTGCCTGAAAAGGAAACGGCGTCATTCAAGCGGGACGATCTTACCGGGTGATTGTCGCCTCTGCGCACGGTCCCACGCTTGCAGCAGCTCGTTCCGGCGCATCCTTGCCCATTCTTTGACCATTCCTCGGGCGCGGGCGGGTAAGTGTCCGTGCAGCAGGATTTGGTGGGTCAATGTTGACTACGCGCGGCTACCGCTTGCTACGCCGTATCGACATCTGAAATATAGTGTTTTCATTTTCATCGAAATACATTTGGATGACGATTCCGTAGAACCGGCAGATTTCAGGCATTGCCCAGACTTCTTACGCTCGGGGCATAACCGCAGCGACGGACTTGCCGGTGAGTCTCATGTACAGCGCATCAGGGCATAGTTCCAATTCTTCGCTCCCAGCGATAGCGCCGTATTCGGTCAGGTATACCGCTTCAATGCAGGTGCGATCATCCCATACGCTGAATACTCCACCGCCTCGCCAGTTCCGAGAGATCGACTTCAACCTGCCGCGCCGTCTGAGTAACGAAGCCAGATACGGTAACCTTCTCTAGGTTCTACCGCGATAGGTTCTACCATAAGTTCCTCCGCGGTAGGCGCTTCGGTTCTTGTTCCTACCATCGTTCTGTCACCTTGCCATTGCTATCGAGAGAGGCGCAATGACATCATAAGGCCATGTATCGGAATCAGCCGCTGCGCTAGGGGATCAACCCCCAAGAATGCGTTTTCGAGCGCGATTGCCCCAAGCAGCGCTGGCGTACCTTCGTCATTGAACAGCACCTGCGTGATTATCTCTTGGTCCTCAACTCGCACCCGCGCGTATCCGACATCCATTGTCCTGACTTCTTCCTGGGCGAACTGGAACGCCTTACGTGTGGTAGGTTCCACGCCGAGCCGCTTCAGCACCGACGCCGGCACGGCAGTCATGGTCGCGCCCGTGTCCACGAGAGCGCTCACCGCTACCCAATTCTCGGCGGTCGTGCCGCCAATCTCTATTTCTACCTGAAATGTGCCCACGCTAAATGGCTACCTTCGCATAAGTGGGGAGTAATTCTCTTGGAATCAGTATACAGCGACAGCCCCCTCGCTGCCGCCCTCGTAGGTTCCCACGTAGTCGACATCCCCTAGCAGAGGCGTTGTCCCAGCAGTCACCCGCTGGGTAGGAGGTACTTCCTCGGGATCTCGGCCCCGACGGTGTACTGGATGCGGCCGATGCGCACCATCTGGTAGACGTTCACGCGGAAGTCGGGGTTGATGCTGGCGTGCATGTAGGCGTCGCGCTCGGATACTCCGTACTCGGTCACCATCCACTCCATGAGGTTCTCGATGGCGCTCTTGACGGCGTCCTCCAGGGGTCGGAAGGAGTAGAGGGCGACGATGGAGTCGTCCTTTTCCAGGCGCACGAACGGTATCGTCTTGTTCTTGATGACGCGGCACGAGAGGGTCAGCTCGCCGCGAGTCTCGTCCGCAGTGCCGTAGAACTCGGTGTCGCCCTGGCTGGCGTGAACGTCCCCGACGTAGAGCAGGCCGCCCTCGTGGTAGACGTTCAGGTACACGCGCGTGCCCTCTTTGATGTCCCGCACGTCGAGGTTGCCGCCCCACGGCCCCTGCCCCACGGCGCTGGTCTCGACCTCGCGGTCGGGCGCGGTGCCGATGGTGCCGATCATCGGCGCGAGGTCCCAGGTGATCTTGTCGTTGAAGATTCCTTTGCCGTCGCTGGTTGTCCCGCTCGGCCCGGGAAGGTGCTTGATGATGTGGACGAACGGCCCCCTCAGAGACTGCCACTTGTACGAGTCTCCGAGGGGACTCTGTCCGGGCCGGAAGTTCGTGAAGCCCTGCTCGTCGACGATGATTCGCTCGACCGTGACCTCCAACAGGTCGCCGCGCTCGGCTCCTTCTACGAACACCGGGCCGCCGATGGGGTTGCCCTTCGGCGGCTCGAAGTTTCGCGTCGGGAAGTCCATGAGGTGCGGCGCAACGTCGGCTGACCTCACCAGACCTGAGCCGGCGTCCTCGGTCTCCACGACGAAGCTCTCGCCCTGCGCGACGCGCATCAGCGGCTCGTCGCGATGATCGAACTCATACTTCATCGCCTGGTCGCGGGCGATTCGCTGCATTTAGCTGTCACTCAAAACGTTGATCTCATTAGCATTTGTCCGACGCGATGTGGGGGCACTCCAGGAAGTTGGTGCTAGCGTATCTGACCGACCTTCTGCCAGGATGGTTGAAGTTGTCGATCCCATCCTCGAAGTACCACAGCGGGGACTCATAGCTGTAGTAGTCGTGCGCCCCAAAAGTGGTCGATATGTTTCGCAGGTTGTTCCTCTTGAAGAATACTCCCGGCGCACCGCCCGTAAACCCAACCGTGCCGAGATGATAGGCGTTTTCTAAGTTTAGTCTAAAGATTGCCTTGCCGTTCTCGACCCGTCCCGGATGCAGCATCGGATACTGCTTCCCGTCCCCATAGAGGCCCTGCATCTCCATCAGGAACCCGTCAGGATCGGCTGGGTACCGACCCTTTGGCGCCAGTGGCAGAAACTCGTTCTCCGAGCAAGATGGGCACTCAACGGCGGCCGCGCCGATGGGGGCCATACCCTCTACGCCCCCGGTCTCGAAATACCTGCCCATCTCTCTCCCGGGGCCGCTGGCCCGATACGGGAGGAATTGAGTCCAGTACCAGGGGTTCGTCATGAGAGACATGGCCCTCATGCGGACCGGGGCTTCTTCCGTTCCAAAAGCCCGATTCCGCCCTTCTTTAAAGTCCAGCTTGAAACCCATGTCCGCCCACTGGGATTGCAGCAGCTCAGCAACGGGAATGAAATTAGCCCTGAACTCAGAGAAAAACTCCAAATTCCCAGTGCCGTCAAGCCGGTTGCGGAACCCATCCCCATCAGTGTCAATCAACCCAAGGTCGTCCAGGATTTCGTTGGCCCTCGCAATGTCGCGCTCAGCCAGATATCCGGGCCACTGGTCTCCGGGATAGTACGGCGTCGCAGGATGCGGTACCCACGCTTGAGGCGTGCCGATCCCAAGGTAGACCAATTGGTTGATTTGGTCACGGTCTAAGCTCAGGGACAATGCCTCTCGGAACTCTTTCGTCCGGAACCACCGGCCCAGCTCAGCATCAAGGTTGAACTCCGGGTTGATCTGAATTCCGGCGTCGTTGCCATGCGTCTTGGTCCAGCGGCCGACGCTGTAGTCGCCCTTGTCCATGTGTGCGAAATACAAGGGGACCTCGGCCAAGACAAAGTCGCCGGCGTAAGGCCCGTCCGTTTCCCCGTTCATCGACCTGAAGACGGATGTCGAGATATTCTCCGCCTTGTTGTAGGTGTAGGTATCGAGGTACGGGAGCTGGTTGCCGTTTGGGTCGACACCGTGGAAGTAGGGGTTGGCGCACAGTCTTTCCTGCTCGTCGGCCCCACCGTCGCACAGGTAGTAAGCGTGTGTGACGGGAACCTCAGCATCATAGCGGATGCTGTATTTCCCCTTCCAGACCTGCGTCCAGTCCTCATATCCGCCCTCGGTCATGAGCTTTTTGAATTCGGCGGGGTCCGCGTACTTCGGGTGGAACTTCTTCGAGAAGTGGAAGGGCTCAAAGAAGCACGAGGTCATGCGAGTACACCCTTGGCCGGCCGCCAGCCTGGCGGCCTCGATGAACGTGTAGTTGGGATTGTCAAAGCTAAGGGTGAGGGTGTGGTCATCGATCTTGGTGAACTTGACCGGATCACCTGTCACGGGGTCCTGCAGAACGCCCGGCACGACCGGGAAGAGTTCCTTGTTGTAGTTGAGGTCCTCACTCCAAGCCCACTCAACGTCCTGCATGGTGAATGGCGCGCCATCGGACCACTTCAGGTCTCTACGGAGCGTCACGGTGTAGACCCGTCCGTCCTCGCTCGTGCTAAAGGACTTGCAAGTGGCAGGGTAGTAGCTCAGGCCGTCGTTATCCCATTCCGTGCACGTGCCACCTACCGCGAGACCGGTCATGAGGTTGTTGTAAAGACGGCTGCCCCAAAGTCGCGCGTCTCCCCCGTAGATGCCTATCTCATCAACAGGCGCGTAGACGAAGACGTCCTCAGGATGGGGCAGACGCTGCTCCACCGGAGGCAGTGAGCCTTCCCTCACCAACGCCGCGAATCGGGGGTTTTCGCTGAACTTCGTAGGTCTGGGACTGTACCCCTCGCCGTAGAGCAGTGGGACGCCTGGCTCCTGTACGGGAGGTATGTACTCGGCCGTGGCCATTGCACCCTCCGTGTCTGCAGGCGCCGACCGAGGCTGAGCTGAGGGGGCCGAACCTGTAACGCCGGGCGCTGTGGGAGCCTCAGGGAGCGATGGCCGGTCTAGCCGGCGCGGCCGGCTGAGGGGCATTGGGCACATGAGGCGCGACGGCCTCTATGGCGGGAGCAGGCGCGGGAACGACGGCCGGTTCAGCCGCCCGAGGGGCCGCCGGAGCCTGGGGGGCTGCCGGCTCCTCTGCCGCGCACGCCAGAGCCGCCACTACAGCGAAGCATGCCAATATCAGTGCGATTACGCTCTTTCTCATTACCGTAGACGACATCTTCATCCTCCTTCTGGTGTTCTGCTGCCTGGATACAAGCTGCGCTTCGAGTCGGATGGGGCCTCTGTTGAATCTGGGTTTGATGTCGGTGGTCAGGCTCTAGGTCGGACGATCTAACAATGATGTGATGACAATTAATGGGGCCGACCGTGGTACGAGAGTAGTTGTTCACTCCGTTGTTCTAAATTTGGCTTCCGCTTTCGCCGTGTGCGGCATTATACCAATTCGCCGCGAATCTTTCAGCGCGGACGAATAGAGAAACCCTCTGTCGCCATCGATACGGAATTAGTCATGAGTACAGTAGCCTCGTCAGCCGGCTGCCCCAGTTCGTAATTGATTGCTGGCAGGTTACAACCTGCATGGGCGATTGCTGGAAAAGAGTGTCCCGTCACTCCGATACGGGCATTGCCCGACCGTCCGCCCCTAGGACGACGACTTGGTGCCGCGGAAGGGATGGACCCAGTCGGCGAGGGAGCGAGGGTTCCGGGACTGGACCCAGAGCCTGCCCCTGCCGGAGAACTCCATGATGATCTGGTCGGAGAAGAGGAACGAGCGGATTTTCGCGGCGCGAGTCAGCCGGTATTCGAGCGTCGAGTCCCAAGCGACGGCGTGGCCGTTGTCGACGATGTACGCGCCGTCCACTTCGATCTCCTGGATGTCGCCATAGGCGCTGAAGAACAGCGTCCCGGCGCCCGACACGCGGAGGATGAACATCCCTCGTTGAAGAGACCTCGCAAGCCCTGGAAGTCGGAGTTCGTCGACACACCGGGCGACGAGGCAAGATAAGCGCCCTTCTCCAGCAGCAGCTCCTCGCCGTCCATCTCGTACGCCATGATGTCGCCGGGCTGTCCCTGCGTGAGGCCGATGGTGCCGGAGCGCCCTCCGCCTCGTAGGTGTTCTGGAAGAAGCTCTCGCCGCCCGAGAACCCTCCGGCTCAGACCCGACATGATGCCGCCTCTCACGGACGTCTCCGCCCGCATGTTGTCGGTCATCCAGGCCATCGCGCCCGACTCGGTGACCAACTGCTCACCGGGGTTGAGGGTGACCTCCGCGAGGCTGTAGCTCGGCCGCGAGTGTATGAAGTAGTCCATTACTAGCTCTTCTCCGGGAGCAGTGGGCCGAGCGTCCTGCCGAACTCATCGGGATTGTGGCTCTGAACGTAGACTCGACCGTACCCGCTGAAATGAAGTACGAGTCCCTCGCTGGTCAGGAACGAGGATACCCAGCTTCCGCCCGCCTTGCCGACGGAGTATTCGAGCGAGTCCTCGAACGCCACCACGTGTCCTGTGTCGATGGTGAGCCCGCCCTTCACTTCCAACTCCGTGATCGTTCCGAAGGCGTTCACCAGTAGCGGCCCGACGCCCTCGACGGTGAGGAACGACAGCGACTCGCCCGACAGCATACCGCGCAGGCCCTGGAAACTGCGTGTCGATGTCACTCGAGGGCGGAGCCGAGGTAGCTGCCGCCGGCGCAGACCCAGCGTGCACTGCCGTCGCACTCGATGAGGGCCACCTGCCCCTGCAACCTGGGCGCCAACCCGACCTCGGCGTCTCGATAGTCGGAAACGGTGTACCGCGAGAAGAAGAAAGTGCTCTCCGGCGATCATTCGCTTGATGCCCGACATGATGCCGCCGCTGCTGCGACTGCGCGTCGTCACGTCGATATCGACGTTGTCGGACGCGCGGAACATCGACCCCGCCTCGGATACGAAACTCCTCCGACGGGACGGAGATGAACGAGGGCTGAGCCGAACGCGCCGTTGTCAGCGATCTCTATGTGCATCTTAGAGCGATATCCCCTATTGCCAAACCGATGTCCTATCTCGTGAAGGGCGTCAGCCACGAGGCCAGCCCCGGCATGGTACGTGTTTGCAAATAAATCGTGCCCGTGCCAGAGAACTTCATCACGAGGCCCTCCCCGGACAGCAGCGTGCTCTTGATTCCGCCCATGCCCTGATGGAGTAGCTCAGGGACGGCTCCCAGGCGACCACGTGGCTCGTATCGACGATGAACGAGCCGTCGATCTTCTTCTCGATGATCGATCCGTAGGCGTTGAAGAACAACTCGCCTCTGCCGCTGCACTCCATGAGGAACAGTCCCTCGCCGGAGAAGAGCGCGCGCGCCCCCCGAACTTGGTGCTCAGCTCCACGCCCGGTGTGCACGCCATGAACGAACCGCCCGTGAGCATGAGCGAGTCACCGTTCAGCGTCCTCTGCACGACGCTTCCGGGCTGCGCGGGAGAGAAGGCGATCCCGCCACCACTGTCAGTGGAGTACTCGCCTACGAAGAGCGACTCGCCGCCCGTAAACTTGCGGATCAGGGCGCTCAAGAAGCCGCCGAGGAGACGCGCCTTCGACTGAATGTCGGAGTCCATCCACGCCATCGAGCCGCCCTCGGCGATGAACTGCTCGCCCGGACCCAACTGCACTCGCAGTTGCCCGTAGTCGGGATTGCCGACAATGTCGATCTGCATAGGGAAATCGTACAGTCGCTTACATCCAAGTGTCAATCGGATTTTCGTCTTGTTAAGTCAGCATTCAATGGGCACATAAACCATTGGATAACGCTGTAGCAACCGTCCTGTCATCCCTGGGATAGGACGGCACCTTTACCGAAACCTCCTACCAAGTTCCAGTCTGGTACCATTCTTTCTCCTTCTGATACTCTTTCACGCGGAGAGAACCCTGCCATGACCAACACCTACGACGACGCGATTGTGAATCGACGGCCTGAACGTGAGCAACTGGGACTCGAACCGGGCCCTTCGAGGGGGTATATGCCGTCGGGTCACCGCGTTCAACGCCACGATAGCAATATTCGAAAAATTCCACGAGGCGATGGACAACATCGCCGGATGGTACGAGCGCCTGGACGACTGGTCGGACCGCCTGACACCCATCACCTCGGTCGACGACATCCGCGAAGCGAAGCGAAGAGCAAGAGGGAGTTTTGTTTTTTCCCCTCTCCCTTTTTCATTTTTTACATTTCCGCCCCTTTCCATGCGTCCTCCCGATTTATTATCGCTCATTTCTCCCACCCCTCTTGCCTCCCCGTGCCGCTCTCCGTCTTATAAGTGCCCGCTTCATATCATCACCCCTCCCTCTGTTCCCATGGTCGATTTCCTTATCTAGCTTGACAAATCCTCCTCTTTGCTTATTTAATCCTGTCTTTTTAATACCTCTAGTTTTTGTCATATCTCAACTCTCCTTCCCTTCCTTTTGTTTTGACTTCCCCCTTATACACTGTTTCCTCCCCTTTTTTTGTTCCTGCCGCGCTCCCTCATTGGATCGCTGCAAGGACCCCTCTTCCTGCTTCTAGTCCTAGGTCGGCTGGAAACGAAACCCCCCGTCAACCCTCCCCCCCCCCCTCCCCCTCCCCCTTTCCCCACCACCTCGGGGGCCAATCTGCGAGCAAACAGGGACCACTGATGCAAGATTGCACAAACCCTTGAACC